ACCTCTACACACAAACAGTCTACCATTCTCAATATGTCTAGAGACAAATCTCAACTCTTTACTCAGACCTTTTCAATACCTCTTCAAGAAAATTTCCAGGATGCTAATAGGAAATTAATAAGAGAAATGACAGGCAGGTAGAGTTCACTACATCTTTGACAATCATTTGTTTGTCAAGGATTTCTGAAACATGTACAATTAAACACAGTTATGTACAAGAGGAATTTGGCTGATAAACTAATCAAAGCACCGCCATCACAAAGTACAGGGAATCTATTTTACTTTGATTCATACCTACAAGAATCACAAGCCATTTCCTTTTCAATAATTTTTTTCTTTCTTTTACATAAAAGATTTTTCCTTTTCACATTTGTTTTCCTGGATATGCAATTTTAAGGTCTTCCCTAATAAAATGGCTCTTGACCAATTCAATCCACATTTCAGTTACCACTTTGAATTAACACTACATAGCATAAACTTACCTCTTTGTCTTTGAACATTCTTTTGCCCAGTTCCCAGCCAAACCTGGCACTATCTCCTCAGATGTGTCCTCTTTGTTTAATGACCATAAATCTTTAGCTTCCAGTGGTTGCCGATATCCCTGAATCATCAACCTGTAATAGAAAAATCATCATTGCTAAAGAGCTAACATTATGTACAGATTACAATGAAGGGAAACATATATTTCAAAACTAAAATGGAGCCAGCTCTGAAACCAGATGCTGAAGTGTAATAACCCACAAAAAAAAAAAAAAAATAGTAATACAGGTCCTGATCCCCACAAGATATTTAGGCACCCAACTTATATTTAAGTCAACAGGAAATAGGTGCTCCTCTTTAAGGAATCAAGCTTTAACTGAAACTCCACAAACAATTTAGTGAAGCAGAAGGAAATTATCTCATTTGGAAATCAGTTGAGTAAACAACACATACGTTCTTAAACTTAATTATAATATTGGATTAGCTTCGGCTTTACGCCTTGGGTAAAAAGGTGCCACCTTTATGCAAAACCACGGGGATATTTTGACAAGGAATAATTCATAAGGCATACCAACTGTTGCATCACCAATATTACTTTACACGTGTATCTGTTCCATAGACCTTTCCCATTCCACACTCGCCTTGCAAGAACTAACCGACTACAAGGCAAAGAGGCATAATTTTTTTTCTGGACAAAAAAAATGTTAAGATGGCATTCAGGGTATTGGCTTTGAATGATTAAAAAAAATTTCCAGGACTCAAAACAAAATACTACAAGCCTGTTTACGTCCCTTCAATTTCTCAAACACATTAAGAGTATACAATTTCATTAACATGCTTACTAGGATATTAAGTATACAATATCAGTCGATTCAAAATAAATTAAAGCAATTAAACCGTGAAGCTGATTAGTGGATAAGTGTCTACAATGAACAAAACACAAAGCTGTCACCAAATTATCAAAACATTAGCAGTATCTCATGAAACTAGAACTAAACAAATGACTTCTTCTTCCCCCCAACACTGCAATGTACAACACCTTGTTCTTACCCTGTGATCCACCAGAATGTGATTTTAGAGAGGAAAGAAGCATTCGATTCTGGGCAGGGATTCTAAAGGAAAGGAGAGAATAAGGTATCAGACCCTGTAAACAGAACAGCAAACAACAATCCTTATGAAAATTACTTTATATTAAAGCAAATCTTCAGTACCTTTTTTGTTTCTGATTTAACAAGTTTGTTTAGAATAAAGTTAATCTTCACAGGCAGTTTCAAGACTGCCACTGTTGTATCATAACGGCCCAATAGCACTGTATTAACAGATACCTACATAAAATATACTCGCACAATGTCCAGAAGATGTACGTTTCATAAGGCATACTGCTCTAGATAGAAATAAGGCATAACAACCTTATATCTTAAGTAAGTCACACAAGACATGATGCTTACTCAATAATTAGAAGATACGGTGGAATAGAACAATAGGCAAAGTCTGAAGTGAATGAATCAAGGCAGCTAAGTGCCACAATTAAGTGGGCAGGAGAGAGGTTCTCTCTAAAGTTGGGAAAATTTAGCTAATACATGGGGAAACACACAGATCCAGACACTTTCAATGCTTGGAATAGTTGTCAAAATGAAGGTCTTAAAAATGGTAACCCAGCATCCCAGTAACACCCACTCAGTGCCACAATGCCCAATAGTCTTGACACTCATTCAATTTTTGGTTTCTCTACTGACTGTCCACAACGGCATCAGCTAGTACCAGATGTAGTGGTAGCGTTAGGATGTGAACTGAGCCAAATAACTGCTGTCAGATAGGTAAAGGTAGTGGTCATCAGATCTTATATATGTACCCCGCATCCAGTTTTGTCCATTGGAGTAAAAAGCAAAAGGGGCTGGCTGCTTAAATGAGAAACAGGGTAGGACACTGCTTCTTTACAAATACCTCAAGACTGATGGAATGAAATTTAGTTGGCCAGAGAAAGTCAATTACTAATAAAGAAAACTTGTGAACAGCAAGTTCCTGCAGGAAAAGCGCCACGATTGGATTTATATTGGCACTTCCTCTGTTCCACTCCGATTAAACATAAAAACCACCAAAAAAAAAAATGAACAAGAAATCCTATCACTCAAAATACAGTGGTAGTGTGAGTCAAGTAATTTAAAACTCTGTGGCTGTATTAAAGTTATAAGAGTTGCTCAACTAATGCAATTTGGAACAATTCAGAAGGAGCAGGGTAGGAATTCAGTGCAAATTCCAGAAGGGATTACACCTGCCTCTGTCATTTTGTTCCTACCCCCTACACAGTCAATCTCTCAAAAACATACCATCTGCCACTTTTCTGTTACATATAGATAATGTCCAAAATATAGGGTATTGAATTTACTGGAACAGCTCAAGTACTTTCACCTACAACGCAATCTGTCACTATTATAGAGATGAAGCAAAAAACTACAAGAGCTGATTTTTTGTGGTATTAATACTTTTCAGCTCAAGTTGGCTTCACTTAACTTTTCCAGTAAGCAGCATTCTAAATATGTGTCCAAGTAACATGAAACAGATCTGCACTTCCCTCCCCCTTCCAATGATTCAGCACCTGACCTTTAGGAAAATGTTACAGTACTCAAGTCAAGAAGAAAAGCTGAAACTATTAAAAAGCAGAGATGAATAGAAAATATATACATTCAACAAATAGCCAGCTTTGGGAGGGGGAGGGCAAAATAATCCAACGTTTCCAAAGTACTACCCCTTTCCAGATCAACAATAGCACTTCTTGCAAACTACAAAACTGCCTTCCTGGACAGAGGAAAAAATGTAAAAAGGCAAAAGTAATGGCCCAATCTCTCCTTAGCCCTGGTGCCAATTACACCATTAAAATTCCCACCACAGAGAATTTCTAGTGTGAGCAAGTACAGAGAATACTCCTTCAGTCTAATGTGGAACTAGATTTGAGAGAAAATGACGTATTAGATTTTTCCTGCGCATCTCTCTAATAACCTGTTTATATAAAGTTAATTGCATAATCCAGAACTTCTAAACTCCTGCTACCAACTGACAGACAATTTGGAGCAAGAAATCAAGAACACAAGTTAAGTATTTCAGTATTGATAGGTAAGTAACCATAAAACTCATCTTATTGATAAATAAGATCTCTAACACTGTCACAATACATGGCTAAGTTACTAAACTCAGACATAGTATCATCTGAGGGTGCCTATACATGAGCAGCAAAGCTGCTCTAATGTGCTGCAGTTACAGCACATCAGAGCAGACTCAATTAATTAAGTCTGCTGGAACATGGTACTTACTAGAGCTGTGCAAAGCTTTGGTCCCCGATTTGATTCGGCAGAGATTTGGCCCAATTCAGTGGCCGAATCTCTGAATCTGAATTGAATCAGAGGACCCTTTAATCTCTCAGAATCGAATTGGAGTCGGCAATTTGGACATAGACACAGCTTTAAATGTTTTTTCTACATACCACAAGGTACCAGGCTGCTCATGAATGCTGCAATGCTGGGGCAGATGGAGCATTCCACAGGAGTGCGGGGGCTCCCCAGTCGCTCGGCAAAGGCCTGGAAGTGGACCAGCAGCACTCCCAGGTCCTCCAGGGAGCGCGCTGGGGGGCCCCCTGCACTTCCCTGGCTCAGTGACTTGTGCCTCCTAGGTCAGGGGGGGGGGCCTCAGCACACCCGGTGGTGGATCCGGAAGTGGGCCAGAAGTACTTCCAGTCTAGTTCTGGGTTCACTGCTAAGCATGTGGGGGGTCCCCTGTGCTCCTGTGGGACACTCCATCTGTCCCAGCATTGCCACGATCATGAGCTGCACCTGGTATCTCGAGCTATGTAGAAAAAACATTTAAAGCTATGTCTATGGCTGAATCAGCATCAACTCTTCAGATTCAGCCAAATCAAAAATCGGGACAGTGATCCGAATCAACAAATCAAAATCACTGCCCCCGATTCGGGCTGAATGCAAATCGAATACGGCCCATCTCGCACACCCCTAGTAATCACCACACTCCAGCAGCCTCCAGTGTCTCATGTATCAACAATCCCCACACTTCAAGTGTCCCCCCTCCCCCACCATTTTGAAGCATGGGGATACTGATACAGGAGACTCTCCAGGCACCTTAATTAGAGCTGCTCCGCAAGCCGCTCTCAAGTACCCCCCACTGACTCCCAGAGCACAGGTATAAATGCCCTGAAATTTCAGTTTTTTTAAACGGGTTAACAAACCACTGCTCTTGCATTCTTCCCCTCCAATCTCCGTGCTTGTTCAATCAGGGCTCAATTCCGTGAATGTTTAGCACCTAATGCAGTGGCCTTAACTCCTGTTGAGGTCAGTGGCAGCAAAGGCTCTTAGCAATTTGTAAATCATTTATTACGCTAAATAGTTAGAAATTCTAATTGTAAAGCTTTGGTAGTATAGTCTTAAACATCCGTAGGAAAACTAGAGTAGTTATTAGCTTCTGGGAGAAGATCAAATGTCTCTGGAGTCTAACTTCTATATTAAAAGAGAAAAATAATTCACATTAGTCACAACTGCAAAGCAAAACATGCAAATGTAAAAATGAAATGGAAAGCCAACGATACACTTCATGCACAGGATATTTAAAAAAGGAAGTGGGTTTTTGTTATTTTTTTTAAAGGCTGTTTGAATTGTGAACCTACACCATGCATTATTCACCATATATAAACAATAGTTCTCAACCTTTTTAGTGCCAAGGCACCCTTTAGAAAATGCCAGCTCTTAGTTTTCACTTTTTATGCCTACAGAAAAATAATAGAGTAGTTCTTCTGTTGCAAAAAACTCAAAGACCACAACTATGGATTTCTATTGGAAATTTCTGGATTTATCTTGAGAATCATGCTTATAAACCTAACAGTGCTCCAACACGGTATGGCACTCCTCTGTGCCCATGAGAGGATCTCCAAGCACTGCAGCATGCCATGGCACCCTCGTTGGAGTATCACTGTTCTGAAATGTCTGGATTATGAAGCAGAATCTTATTTACTGTAAACACAACAACCATGACCAAAGCAGACAAAAATGTTTCCACAGTTCCCACGCAAACTATCCAGTATAATTCAGAACTTTTCTTCTGGACTGGTCACTGACTACATGAATCACCAACAGCTGATCTTGTTTAAGAGACTTCAAAGAATCTCCTATAACAGCATGCAAATGTAGACAGCAAATTCAAAAGACATCAATTTTTCCTTGCACTTAGTGTCAGTTGCTCTAATTCTCTATCCAGGCTGACTGCTTTAATTTCTTTGCTAACAGATTTCTGGTTCACTTCATCAGTCAGTTCTAGCTCAAGGATAGCAACACCTCCTGTTACAAAAGGAGCTACAATTTCAACCTTAAAAACCCATCCAAACTTCAGCAGTTAGAGCCAGAATACTGAATATTCAGAGTCGCTATATAATACAGTGATGCCAAGACTGGGCCTGCAAACTAAGGGGCAGAGATAAATAGGTTTATCATTGACAAATATATATTTTAAGAAACTATAACAGAAATTAAAACCTATATGAAAGTCTTGTTCAAGTACCAAAAGAGAGAGTCAACAATGCAAATCGCAAGATAACTGTTCAGACACACTTTGTAATCGCTGGGGATAAACCATTAGTACTTCTTAACTTGTGAAGCATTTTAGGATTTATCCCAGGACAATGGACATGGATGTCTGAACAACAGTACTTTATTCCAGGAAGAAAAAGGGTTTATCCCAGGACAAATACAATGTCTGTTTGTAGTCAAAAGGGCAAGTACATTTTTATAAAATCCACCTTGTTTTTGTAAGGTGTACCTAAACTTGTGCAGTGCCAAATGCTCTCAGTACAAAGCCAACTAAATAAAAAATAAAGTGCCTCCTGCCATAATTCAGGGAGAAGTTGAATAATTGCAGAGTGAATCCCTGCTGTGTAAAGAATCTTGTAGGTATGGCACTTGACCTTCCAGTCTTTATTTTCACATGCCAGAACATCATTTCTTAACACTTACAGGATCACGAACTGTTTCAGAAAACAAAGGAGGTTTTTCTGGAAAGCAGGACAGTATTAGCTGTATTAGCACCAGGATGAAGTAACTGCAGAAGGTGACGTAACGAAATATATCAACTTCAGCACCCTAAAAAGAGATGATAATTTGGTTAGTTTTCAAAATTGCTTTCATTTACAAACAAGAACTATTACAATGGTCTACTTTGAAACGCCTTAATTTGGAAATCCATATCAAAATAAAATAAACACTCTGCTCAATGAACAAGGCAGCTTCCAGTTCAGAAACAACTGCAAAGTAGGAAGCATTCCCTTTGCAAGTACTGGGCACTGGAGACTAAACACATCAGGGCAGCGTTCTTCAACCAGCCCAATTAAAACAGAACACGTGCATATCCCAGTGCAAAATATTATGGCAGAATACTTTTCTCTGCAGAGGAGGAGGAAAACAAAGTTGTTTTTCTTGTACTGGGACCATCCAAAGACATCAATAACATGGAGTTCCTGAGAATACTCTCTATTTCCTTGCAAAGCTTTATCTGGCTTTTAACCACTGGGGTCACTGCACTCACACAAATCCTTACCACAGAGTTGCAGTGTTTAAGGTAGAGTGAATTGTACTGGTTCGATTTAATGGGTACATGTCATCTACAAGGGGTTGGCAGAGGGGGAAAAAAGGCATTAAGAATCAGATTTGGGAGTACAATTTAGTCCATTAAATCATGCTCCACAATGTTTTGAAACTCCAGGATGTTCTTCCTCATCTCCACACATCCAGCATAGCTCAATCCCTCCCTCCCAGAGAAAAATGAAGACAAGTTACAGTTGCAGAAAGAACACATCCATAATTAACAAAATATCAGAGTTGATTAGAAGTTCTCAAAATTTAATGTCAGTGGAAGCTTTTCAGGAAAAAACAGTTACGTCCCATTTTTTAGCTAGCCTTATAAGCCATGTAACTTATTTTTGCACTGGGCTTTTAATAAATATTGCAAGTGCTCAAGAAAATTCTTTGCCTCCCATCCCCCCCCCCTCCAGAAGTTGCATATGACCAAAACTTCAGGAAATCTATATAATCAACAGGGGGGGAGAAAAAGACAGCCACTAAACACTTCCCAAAAACATTTCAGAAAGAGGGTACACATCTTTATTCAACTGAAATATGTGCCTTGCACCACTGAAGAGTCTTGTAAAATTTTTTTGCTAATAACTTGGCCACAGATGCCTTGGTAAGATCATGAAGGCTTTGACTAGTTTCAAATGTAGAAGAAAAAAAAACAAAAACAAAAACAAAACAAAACAAAACAAAAAAACAACCCTCAAAAAGTAAAACAAACAAGACTTAATGGCCCTTAAACACTGAAGAATGAAGGCAGACTTAGTGGTTCATTAACTCATTCATTATCTTATGTACCAATGATGGGCAGCACAAATTCAATCATTAAACAAATGACCACTGCACCATGATACCACTTAACTCTACTTAGTTAAAAAATAATCACTTACCATATTTAAGGCATGTAATATTTTAGACCTAAAAATTACTGTGGCACACAACAGTGCAATGAGCCAGAAAATCAACAAGAAACCTGAAGACTGGACTCCTTTCATTCTTTCGTATTGTATTAAAAATGTGACGAGCAACTGTGGACAAATAACATAAGCAGATTAGTTCTGGACCCTTGTGATAGTAAAGCTGATACAAAAAGCAAGAACAAGATACAAAGCACAAACAACATGTCTACGCCAAATTATTTATTTAGTGTTTAAAGGCCTATATTGCCCAGATTCCCACCACGTCCCAATTTGCTTGTACCTGTACCAAAATTATTCCAAAGAACTTCCAATGTCAGTTGGACATGCCAGACTGTGGGGGTGAAGAAATAAAAATACTACATACAAGCAGAGAAAGGACACAAAGAAGAGAAGCACTGACAGACAGGATAAGCAGGACAATTTACTCTGGGGCAGCCACCCATCATACACAATATTAGTATTTAAGAATGGTCCATTGGGCGTTTTTAATAGTACAAAATACATAGTTTAGTTTCAAAGCCCCAGAGAACAAAAGGGACTGTTACAAACCATTCAAAGAGTTGGGGGCTTTTTGTTTGAAGTTTTGGCCCCCAACTTAAGCATAGTTTATGATTTTAAGTAGTACTAACTGGACTCCTCCATTATTACTTATAAGTCAAGTTCATGAAAAACTACACGAAGCAAGATGTACTAGTGGCCTCTGAAAAATTAAAAAGCTTTGAATCAATTTGCACATGACTATGTAGAGTTTTCAGCAAAGCTTTGATTACATGAACAAGATTCAATATTTCTGAATTGAGCTGCAAGCAAAAAAATTGCAAAGTGGAGTTTGTAGGTAAAAGAATTAAAAACAAGCAATCTGCAAAACACGACAAGGCAAGACTTACAACTTAGAAAGATCAGCAGTTATGATTTTGCACTGTGAAAAAAGTCTAACAGGATACTGCATACTTACCATTGTTATGCCTAAAACTGTAGGGCTAACAAAGAAAACTGGAGCAAGAGAAATATTTTGACTTCTTTCCCAGAAAGAGTAGAAAAGGTCTGCCCAGCAGACTATCCATAATATTAGACCCAAGGCCTGGAACAAGAGTGTTATATACATTAGTCCTCACAAATGGGGGATATTTTATGTAGCACTACAAGGGTTAAAAGTAAACTCCTAGATGTACCAAAAAGACATTATTTATAACCGAGTTCACATACAAGCAGCCAAAATGTGATCACCTTGTTGTGTCAACCCAGTTACAAATTAAAACCAAACCCTATCATATACATTAACTAGTAAAATTATTTACTTTGTTTTTCTCTATTGAAGAATTTTTTAATTGCATTTTATATTTTAGATTAGTTTTGAACTAATCTAAGCTATCACTCATTCATGTCTCTGACTTCTAAAACTAGACTGAGAATAAAACATTGAATAACAGTGTTAAGGTGAAGGACAAACTCCCAAATTAAGGTATTATGTCTTCTCTTAAGTTTTTGTTTGTTCTAGAATGGAACTTAAATGTTTTAACTTAAGTGCCCATTCAATGATAAACCAATAGGGTACCCGTAATAATGCTAATAAAGATTGCTTCTTCTAAACACTCAAGAAATCTGGCAAAGAGCTGATTATTTCCATAAAGCCCTTTTATTTCTAGGTCCTGAAGCCTCAGGACCAGGGTGGCCAAGATATGGCATTCCTCAACTGAGCCAGCACAAAGCACTCTGAAGGAGGTGTGCTTTTCTCGCATTCAACAGCCTTTATTCTTACAAAACCTACAGCCAGGAGGACAACTGCACAAGACTTAGAAGCCATTTATTGGGACTTTGTCCACATAAACAAATCTTGATAGAGTTTAATAAAAATAGTTTAGTAAACATCTGAACCCCCACTAAACAGATGCCATAATAAAAGTGACTTACTGTTTTGGCTTTGTTGAGACAGGACATTTGGATATAACCCCTGTCATGATGACTGAGATATAGGAAGTAGATTGGGAAGCAAACCCAGAGGTAAATGCAAGGAACCCAGATGAGAACGGTGTTTTGAAAGCAGTGGGTAAAATCTGGATTTTCTGTGTGCCATGTCAAATTCCAGTCCTGAGAAAATGAAGTGGATTGGAAGAGAATTGAAAACTTATACCACTTTAAAAA